TATTTTTAGTGATTTCCCAGGACTATCAAAATCTGTTTACAGGAAATCTAAATGCACTTTGGATACCGCTGGACTGTGTTCGTGGGCAACGAAGGGGGGGTCTTCGTTGCCCAGTTTCTCAGAAGGCCCCAGCTCCAGAGCACTAACACACTTTTCTTTGCGTCATCAGAGTTACTACCATTTGCTTCTTTCCAGAGAACTTCTTTCAACAATTCATATGACAGAGGTCTCCTGGTGACACAGTCTCTCAACTTGGTCCCGTTTTCTTTCCTTTTTTCAGGCTGTGTAGTTTCCACCATCTTATCTTCATGACGCTCTGCTCAGTTTGCTCAGATCCATAACTGAACATCTAGGGATGATTCATTGAAGCTGTGCTTTGATTACTGATTTGTAACTCTGTTGGTTCAGTATTTGCACATCCTCCTTCTGGTGTCCTTTAGTCCCTCGCTGCAGTCCCCTCTGCTCCTTTGAGCAAACCTCAGTCTGAAAGTCTTTGTCTGGTAGTTCAGTGCCTGAAGGTCCTCAGAAATGGTTTCTCTCCATTCACTTTTCCCCCATTTTTGAGCTATCTGTTCCTGCTTGTCCACATTCTTTGTGATTTTTTTCATCATTGTATTGGAAGGTGGCTGTGTGAATATCACTGTGACAAATCGGATTCTCCTGCTTTTCTGGTGTTGAGGCAGGAAGATTAGAGGGGGTTGAAATGGGGTTCTTCACTTCCTTTGAACTTTTGGTTCTAGAAATTTCTCAGTTGATTAGGGTTTGGGGAAATTTTTTTTTCTTCCTAAGAAAGAACTTATGAAAAAAATTAAAATTTTCAATGCCTTTTTCCCTTCTGGTATCAGAATCAGCTGGTGTTTTGTTTTTTTTTCTTTGATTGTTACACTGAGAACCTGGTAGGATTCTGTAGGTGAAACTCAGCTATTTTTAGGATCTGCTAAGAACCTGCTGAGTTTCTGTAGGTGAAACTCAGCTATTTTTAGGATCCCCCAGAAAATTTCACCTCTCCAACTGGTTTTCTTTCTGCCTTTGGCAAAATTCATCAGGGATGGTTTCCTACCTTGGTTAAGAGTTTCTGGTGTCGTAAGTTAATTCTGCTCAGGGTCTGCCTCTTTGTTTCCCCAGTTGGGAGATGAAGGGTAACCATTTTTTATTTTTGTCATGTTCTGTTTATTGCTCTATCTTCAGTGTTTAGAAAAGTCCTTGTTACCCAAAAGGCACTTAATAAATATAGTGCTGAGTGACAGGGTGGGTGGTACTTGCCTATAATCCCAGCTACTGAGGAGGCTGAGGCAGGAGGATGTCAAGTTTGAGGCCAGCCTCAGCAATATAGCAAGACTTGTCTCAAAATAAAAAATAAAAAAAGCTGGAGTTGCAGCTCAGTGGTAAAGTGCCCCTGAGATCAATCCCCAGCACCAAACCGAACCAAATAAAAAAAAAACCCAATAACAACAAAGTAATTACTCACTGAATAAATAAGTCAAATAAATCTTCAAAGGAAATAGACAAGTCTTCGGTACCTCAGCAATAGCCTTCACATTATAGTCCATTTTGGTGCAAATTTCTGTGTAGTGGCTTTAGGCTGCCCTATAAGTGAAGGCCTTCCCTTATGTTTAAAGTGCAGGGGTTCCTATCTGTGGTGAATTCTTTTCTGGTGTCTCACAAGATAAGACTTATCAGCGAAGACTTTCCCACATTCAGAACATTCATTCATAAGGTTTTTGTCCAGTATCGAATTTTTAAATGTAAACCAAGGCCCAGCTTCTAACTGAGGGATTTTCTACATGGACAAGCTTTCTCTCCACTGTGAATTTTCTGATGGATGTGAAGTCTTGACTTCTGAAAGAAAGCTTCCTCCCATCTATCACTAGTATCATTTAGAAGTTTTTCCCATATAGATTTTAAAAAATTTGTTATTTTTAGTTACACATGACAGTAGAATGTATCTTGACATACACAAAGTATAACTTCCCATTCTTGTGGTTTACATGCTGTGGATTAGAGGTAGGTACGATGGCACATATCTCTAATCCCAGCAGTTCGGAACGCTAAGGCAGGAGGATCTCGAGTTCAAAGCCAGCCTCAGCAACTTAGTGAAGCCCCTTACATGAACACAGGAAAGTTATATCTGGTTCATTCTGCTGTCTTTCTTATCCCCATTCCCCTACTCTTCCCTTCATTCCTTGGGTAATCCAGCGAACTTCTATTCATCCCTACTCTCTCCCCTTATTGTGTGTTAGCATCTGCATGTCAAAGAAAATATTTGGCCTTTGTTTTTTTGGGATTGGCTTATTTCACCTACCATGGTAGTCTCCAGTTGCATCCTTTTACCAGCAAATACTATCATTTCATTCTTCTTTATGGCTGAGTAATATTCCATTATGTATATATACCACATTTTCTTTATTCATCTGTTGAAGGGTGCCTAAGTTGGTTCCATAGCTTAGCTGTTATGAATTGAGCTGCTGTGAACATTGATGTGGCCACGTCACTATAGTTCCCATATGGATTTTGTTGTCATTGATGAAATGGGATTTTTCTTCTGGATGAATTTATTGCCGTACAGCTGAAACTCATAAGCCCTCTCTGGCATGAATTTTCTTTCTTTCTTTTTTTTTTTTTTTTTTTGTACTGGGAATTGAACTCAGGGACACAACCACTGGGCCCATCCCCAGCCTTTTTTTGTATTTTATCTAGAGACAGGATCTCATTGAGTTTGCCTAGTGCCCTGCCATTGCCAAGGCTGGCTTTGAACTCTCAATCCTCTTGCCTCAGCCCCCGAGTCCCTGGGATTACAGGCGTGTGCCACTGCACCCAGCTATGAATTTTCTTTTGATCAGTGATGTTTGATCTCTGGGCAAAGGCCTTCTCACATATCCTACATTTATAGGGTTCTCTCTTGTGTGTTCTCTGGTGTTTCACAAGCTCTGGCTTATAAATAAAAGCTTTGGCACAGTCCTCACATCTATATGGGTTCTGTCCTGTATGAATTTTTTAATGTGGGAAGAGTGACCCGGAACTAGCTCAGCATGTTTATCATGTAGGGTCTCATAACCAGGAAGTGAAACTGCAGAAGCTTTGTGAATTGTTCAGGCTTGTGAGTTATCAAGAGGCTTCTTTGTGCACTAAAATGTTATAGAGTTAGAACCATCTTGCGGCTATCCTGCTGTACCCAGAAAACCCTCTCTCCTGGAACTTTTGATAACTGTTGGCCTCAGAGCCGAGGGTCCAGGTTGTTCACATCCTCGCCTTTCCCAGGCCTGGCTTTTGCCAACACCGCAGGATCAGCCGATGACTAGGGCTCGTTCGCTCTCCACAATTTAACCTTCTCCATTTCTTCTTCTCTTTGTGCACCACACTAAGGTAAGGTGATCAGAAGCCTGAGGCTCCCTTCTTTGGAGCTGGCAGGAGACTCAGACCACCCAACCTCTGCCCAGAGCTTCCCTGTAGCCTCCATGAATCTCTGAGGCCAGGCCTCTTGCCTTGCTCTCTCAAAGACAATTGCTGCCTGCTTGAGAGACCTGCCCTTCTCTCTTTGAGCCCTCAGTTCAGTGAGTAAAGCCTTTGCCTGTCTTCTCGTTTTTTTTTTTTTTTTTGTTTTATGCCACATTGTCCTCAGTGTCAGCATCAGAACCATCCCTCTGGAGATGACCAGACCATAAGCGGGATGTGCAGACACTGACCACCTCCCCGTCTGTGTTTTCTTGTTCCATTTGCTGGCCTGCTGTTTGCCTGACGGCCAGCATGCACTCTGACCTCTGCTTGCTCCGGGTCTGGGGATCTCCCGGTGTGACCTGTGCTACCCTGCTTATTATAAGCTACCTAGTCTGTGAATCGTAGCTCACAGTGCTTCTTTCAAGGCAGACATAAATAGGGATATGTTCTGTTCTTTCCCAAACTTAATTCTTTGTGTAAATGATTCATCATAAAGTATATTGACAAAAGAACAAATAAAAGGTCTGTGGTAAGATTAAGATGTAGTAGGGCTGGGGATGTGGCTCAAGTGGTAGCGCGCTCGCCTGGCATGCGTGCGGCCCGGGTTCGATCCTCAGCACCACGTACAAAACAAAGATGTTGTATCCGCCGATAACTAAAACAAATAAATATTAAAATTCTCTCTCTCTCTCTCCTCTCTCACTCTCTCTTAAAAAAAAAAAAAAGGATCTGTTCCTTTTAAAAAAAAAAAAAAGATTAAGATGTAGTAGTACTAACACTATAAATATCCTCAGACTTCTGAAGATTCATAACAGAGCCTTGGCCATTCGTTAGAGTCTCCATAGGTGACTAATGTCCTAATTCCTCAGTCACTTTCCAGTCTTTTCTGTGTGATTTTTCACTAACCAGTGTTCTTTAAGAAACAGAAAGTACCTTATTTATGGTACAAATAAGGGCAGCTTCAAGTTGATTTAATCTCTAATTTTTAGTAAGTATTAAGGCAATTTCAAGGGAAAGTGTTACAGGTTCCTTTCTTGGCCTCATTAGGTCCCCACATTCTCATGACTGAGGCTGAAGCAAACTGTTTTCCATCCATCCAGTGGTGAGGGCCTTGGGCTTTTCAAAGTCCCTTCTTAGTGCTTTGAAAAATATTGCATCTGTTTCCAGGTACATTTGGAAAATGCGTTCTCTGAACATTGCTGGGAAATGACTGGTCTGTAGATTTGATTGAAGTTCAAATGACAGGAATTGACAGTGGAGTGTATCGGTGTCCTCTAAGCAAAACTCCCTGCCTGTTTGCTCCGTCTTCAACACTTAGATTTCAATTGACTGTTTCCCTCCCCAAGGCCTTATGTCTTATTTTCAATATGTTGTTTTATCTTGCAGTAGATGTGTCTCATTTGTGGATGTGGGTGGCACTAGGTACCACACCCAGGGGCTTTGTGTATGCCATGCATGGAATACATGCATGTCCCTAAGTAGATACCATTTTGTCCCCGTGAGTCTAGAAATGACTTTTTGATGTCTCTCTCCCTTCCTCTTGGAAATATATGTGGATGTTTTAGGAGCCCGTGACCTTTGAGGATGTGGCCATGAATTTCACCCAGGAGGAGTGGGCTCTGCTGGATCCTTCCCAAAAGCAGCTCTACAGAGATGTGATGCAGGAAACCTCTGGGAACCTGGCCTTTATAGGTAAAGGTGGCATGATTCCCTGGCTTGGTCATTGGAAAGCAAATGTCCCTTGTTCATCAGTGTTGCTGCATAATTCTGAACGTGAATTTGGGAACACTGGGGTGAAGACACGAGGCATGATCCTATTATACTTTGAATATAGCTAGAACCTAATAATTTTTCTATAATGTTGAATGATTCATAGTGGTTTTTCTGGGTCTACATTTTAGGAGAAAAATGGAAAGAACTAAATGTTGAAGATGAGTTCAAAAGCCCCAGGAAAAACCTAAGGTAATTTGCACTCATAAGGGAAAGCAGTGTTCCTGCAGAGTCTTGGAATGATAGGTATTTTTGAAACATGAGCACATGGTACAAATAAGGGCAGCTTCAAGTTGATTTAATCTCAGAAGTGTTCCCCCCAACTGTATACAGGTTGAGCATCTGATGTGACTTGGATCTGGAATGTCCCCCATAGGCTGATGTGTTGTAGGTTTGTACACAATGCAGCAATGTTCAAAGCTGGGGCATTGGGAAGTGATCAGATAAAGAAGGACCTAACCTTATCAGTGCATCAATCAATTAATAGATGCATAACTTTTTTTAAAGGAGGAATCTATTTTTATTTATTTTGAAAATATTCTTTGAGACAGGGTCTCGCTGAGTTGCTTAGGGCCTCACTAAGTTGCTGAGGCTGGTCTTAAAATTGTAATCCTCCTGTCTCAGCCTCCCAAGTCTCTGGAATGACAGGCATGCACTACTGCTCCTGGCATATATTCATAAGTGGATGGCATTCCTGGGAGGTGGCAGGGACTGTAGGAGATATGGACTAGTTGGAGGAAGTAGGGCCCTACAAGACTTCAAGCATGCCCTGGAAGGCTTTATCTTTGCCTGACCCCCTTCCTCACGTTTGAGTTTTAGCCACCATTAGGGGAGCAACTTTGCTCTACCTCGCTCCCCACCATGATGTTCTGCCTCAAGCCCAAAGGGATGGAACCTATCAACTAGCAACTGAAACCTCTGAAACTATGGACCAAAAATAAATCTTTCATATTTTAAGTTGTTTTTCTTATACATGCTAATAGCCTCCATAATCAGAAAATCCCAAACCCCAAATATTAACTATTATTGGAAACATTGGGAGCAATATAATGCTAGGAGTGACACTTTCTCATATGTGTATATGTGTGTGTGTGTGTGTGTGTGTGTGTGTGTACATACACACACATAGTTTTATGCACAAAATTATTAAAATTTTTATATTACCTTCAGATTTTTGGTATAATGTATATGTGAAACAAAAATGAATTTTGTAAAGTAGAAGACATATTAAAGATATCTCATTATATCTGTGCAAATATATCAAAATCCAGTGTATTTTTGGCCACTATATAAGGAATACTCAAGTACCTACCATATAGAACCACATATAAATACCAACTCTTTGTAATAGCTGTTTTGGAAACTTTCTACTGAGTGTTCAATCCATTGATGTTCAAAAATTCTTACAGGGCACAAAACCAGCATTTCTGTAGCAAAAAAAAATTTTTTGGGGGGGAGGTACTGAGGATTAAACCCAGGAACACTTGACCACTGAGCCACGTCCCCAGCCCTATTTTGTATTTTATTTAGAGACAGGGTCTCACTGAGTTGCTTCATGTCTTGCACTTGATGAGGCTGGCTTTGAACTCACTATCCTCCTGTCTCAGCCTCCTGAGTCACTGGGATTGCAGGTGTGCACCACTGCGATGGCAGAAATTATGGAGGCACCACTGGGATAGTAAATTATTAATAATTAAAACCTACGGGCTGGGGTTGTGGCTCAGTGGTAGAGTACTTGCCTAGCATGCTTGAGGCAACTGGGTTCGATCTCCAGTACCACATAAAAAAACTAAACAAAGGTATTGTGTCCTTGTACAACTAAAAATATTAAAAAAACAAACAAAACCTTAGTAATGTGCTTCTCATTTTTTACAGAAGTCAAGTGGTTGAGAGACTCTGTGAATGCAAAGGAGATAGTCAGTGTGCGGAAAACCTTAACTGGACTCCAGAGCATATTTTGAAGGAAAAAACTCCTCCAGGAGTAACACCATGTGAAAGTCCTGTGTGTGGAGAAGTGACCATTGGTCATTCATCCCTAAAGGTGCCCCTGAGAGGTCCCACTGAACACGAACCATGTGAGCATCAGGAATATGGAGAGAGGCCATATAATCAGAAGGAGTGTGGGAAATCCTTCAGCTATTCTCAGTGTTTGCAGACTCATGAAAGGACTCACAGTGGAGAGAGACCCTGTGACAAAAAATGTGATGAAGCCTTTAGGTGTTCCAGTCCTGTTGGAAATCAAAAAAGGACTCACACTGGCGAGAAGCCTTATAAATGTAAGCAATGTGGGAAAACCTTCGCTCGTTCTAGTATCCTTGTAGAGCATGAAAGAATTCACACCGGAGAGAAACCATTTGTGTGTAAGAGTTGCGGCAAAAGATTTACTCGTTCTAGTTCCCTTTACACACATGAAAGAATTCACACTGGAGAGAAACCCTTTGTTTGTAAGCAATGCAGTAAAGCCTTCTGTGATCAGAGTTCCCTTCGATACCATGAAAGAATTCACAGGGGAGAGAAGCCATATGTATGTAAGCAATGTGGGAAAGCCTTTGCTTGTTCTGGTACCTTTCGAAAACATGAAAGAATTCACGAAGAAGAGAAACCCTATAAATGTCTGCACTGTGTGAAAGCCTTCCGTTCTGACAGTGCCTTTCGAAAACATAAGAGAGTGCATACTGGAGAGAAACTCTATGTATGTCCACATTGTGGTAAAGGCTTTGTTTATTCCATTTCTTTTAAGTACCATGTAAAGACGCACAATGGAGAGAGAGAAAAGAAACCCTATGAATGCAAGCAGTGTGGTAAAACGTTCTATAGTGCCAATTACCTGAAAGAACATGAGAACATTCACAGTGGAGAGAAACCCTATGAATGCAAGCAGTGTGGTAAAGCCTTCCATAATTCCGCTTCCCTCCGAAGACATAACAAAGTGCACACTGGAGAAAAGCCACATGTATGTGAGCAATGTGGGAAAACCTTTGCTTCTTCTAGTTCCTTTCGGAGACATAACAAAGTTCACACTGGAGAAAAACCACATGTATGTGAGCAGTGTGGGAGAGCCTTTGCTTGTTCTAGTTCCTTTCGGAGACATAACAAAGTTCACACTGGAGAAAAACCACATGTATGTGAGCAGTGTGGGAGAGCCTTTGCTTGTTCTGATTCCTTTCGGAGACATAAAAGAACTCACACAGGAGAGAAACCCTATAGATGTATGCACTGTGGAAAAGCCTTCAGTTCTGACAGTGCCTTTAGAAGACATAAAAGAAAAAAAATGCATACTGAAGAGAAACCATATTTTGACAGCATTGCAGCAGAGCCTTCATTTATCCCTCTTCATTTAAATACCACATAAGAACGCACAATGGAGAGAAACCTTATGTATATGAGCAATGTGGGAAAACCTTCCTTATTTTGAATCATTTTATAGCACATGAACAAGCTCATAGGGGCAAATCCTATGTGTGTAAGCAGTGTGAGAAAATCTTGTTTCCCAGTTCCCTTCAAATACACTGGAGAGAGACCCTACGTTTGTGAGCAGTGTGGGAAAGCATTCCGTTGTTCCACTGCCCTGAGAACCCATAAAAAAACGCACAGTGCAGCGAACCTGTACGAACTCAAGCAGTGTGGTAAAGCATTTGGTGATCCCAGTTCCATGAAAACATGAAAAAATTCACAGTGGAGAGAAACCCTATGTATAAAAGTCTCCATTTGGCTCACACATGTGGATGCACACTGAATCAAACCTTGTCATTGTGAAGAAAAAAAATAAAACCCAAGAAAGTTATTAGTTGAAACAGTTTCAATTAATGAAAAATTGTAATGTAATGCAATCTTATGAGTAATATGAAGAACTCGATGCAAAGTAATTTGTGTAAAATACTCCAGAAAATACGCAATCTGAAGGAAAATACTACAAGTTATAATAAAGATATTGTGTTTATCAGTGGCTCTTTCTTGTTGTGGGGGAGTAATGGGAGTCGCATCCAAGGGCACTGTACTACTGAGCTACATCCCCAGCCCTTTGTTCAGGCAATACAGAGGGTGGAGCATCATACTCCATACAACTCCACCTACAACTGCTGAGAATATTTTGAACTCCAATGGAAAGAATTCTTTAAATTTTTGCCACAGTCCAGCTGCAGCAAAATAACCGGGGGGTGGGGGGTGTGGGGGGGTGGGTGACGAACAACTTGTGTATGTTGATACAGTAGGAATGGGAGCCATTTATTGTAGGACAGGAGCAGTATTTATACATTCCACACAGCTTATCTAATTAGCATAAACTAGATACAGCAGTCAACCAATCAGGAAACTCCACACTTAATGGCTTGCTTTTGTTACTTCTCAAACCACTCCCTCTGGCATTTTGCCAGGCGCCATCCAGACTTGTTTACAGACTCTAACATTCCCCTGGCAAAATGCCAGGTGTTATTTTGACTTGTTTACAGACTCTAACAAATTTTCATCAAGGTTTTAAAATTTTTTTAAAAATTCTTTTTCTCTGTTTAATTATTACCTTGATGGTACATGGACATTTATACAGTTTAAAATTTTTCTTCTAGTATTTTTGAAGCCAGTTTTTTTTTTCACGGATTAGGTTTTTTGTTAAACAGGATGCTTGATTAGTATATTTTAGTATTGTTTTGTATTTATTTTTAATTTTTAAAGTTTTTTACTTTACATATTTTTTTCTTCTACCTGTTTCCCTTGATTCTCTTCTGCTAGCAGCCAATCTCTATTTTCTTTCACGCTTCCTTTAATTTTTTACTTCTCTCCTCCCTCATAATCTCACAAGCTATCACTTCTGTTTTCTCTGTCCACCATTTGAAAGTATAAACCCTTTTGCAAGCTGGTTGTTATTATTGTAGGCAATAACTGATCATATCATTTCTGTTTATTATGATAATTAACTTTGTAGACATCATAGTAGAAATATTTGGTTTAATGCTATATATTGTTTGTATTGGTTGTTGTTAATTATTTGTCTACCCCTTGAGGTACGTTAAACCTTCAGAGACACTGTAAGTCCACAAGATAGAAACTCTGCTGCCTCAGATCCATATTGTTAGATGGGTAGACATACAAACAACATGAAAAATCATCACCTCAAGCAAACTAAGATACTTCAATAACAGAATCCATTGACACCACAGTGGAAGAAATGTTAGAGAAGGAGTGAATATCAGAGAAAATACAGAAAGTAAAAGGTCACTTCAATAGAGAGAGGCAGAGAAGATTGGGCGGGAAGAACTCTTTGAAATGAAAGAATCAATAAACCAAATTCAACATTCAATGGAAAGCATCACCAATAGACGAGATCACTTGGAAGACAAAACCTCAGGCAATGAAGACAAAATATATAACCTTAAAAATAAAGTCAACCATAGTGAGAAGATGTTAAAATATAAACAGAACTTTCAAGAACTATGGGTTAACATGAGAAGACTGAACTTAAAAATTTTTCTCATCAGGATAGATGAAGACGTGGAGATACAAATCAAAGGAATGCACAATCTTTTCAATGAAATAATAGAAAATTTCCCAAACCTAAAGAATGAAATGGAAAATCAAATACAAGAGGCATACAGGATCCCAAATGCACAAAATTAAAACAGACCCATACCAAGGCACACTATAATGGAAATGCCTAACATACAGAATAAGGATAGAATTTTAAAGCTGAAAGAGAAAACTATCAGATTACTTATAGGAGGAAACCAATTCAGATCTCAGGTGATTTCTCAACCCAGATCCTCAAAGCTAGGAGTTCCTGGAATAACATACCAAACTCAAAGAAAATGGGTGCCAACCAAGAACCCAAATCCAGCAAAATTAAGCTTCAGATTTGAAGATGAAATAAAAACTTTCCATGATAAACAAAAGAAAAGGAATTTGAAACTAGAAAGCCTGCACTACAGAGCATTCTTACCAAAATATACCATAAAGATGAAATGAGAAAAGTGAAAACCAGCTTGTTTTTGTAGGAACTACACTAAAAGAATAGTCAAATGAGAAACTAATGCAAGTTAAAAACTAGAAATAGGTGCTAGAGTTGTGGCTCAGTGGTAGAATGCTTTCCCCACATGCGTGGGGCACTGGGTTTGATCCTCAGCACCACATAAAGGTATTGTGTTCATCTACTACTAAATTTTTTTTTTTTAGAGAATTTTTAAAAATATTTTTTAGTTTTCGGTGGACACAACTTCTTTGTTTGTATGTGGTGCTGAGGATCGAACCCGGGCCGCACGCATGCTAGGCGAGCTCGCTACCACTTGAGCCACATCCCCAGGCCCTACTAAAAAATTTTAGAAAGTTAATCAGAAGGGACAAGAATATTCCATACTGCTTAAGGGAATTACCCATCAATAAGATAACAGTCATAAATATTTATGCCCCAAACAATGGAGCATCTACACACATCAGTCAAACCCTTCTCAATTTCGAGAATCAAATAGACCACAATTCAATAATACTGGGTAACTTTTCTGTGACCACTGGATAGATGCTCCAAACAAAAATTAAAGCCAAAGAACTAAAAAATACAATTGACAATGTGGACTTGGACTGAATACACTTTCTTAGCCAATGGAGCCTTGTGTAATATAGACCACATATGTTCACATACAATTGTAATATTAATATATTTTTAGCAACTGAAGGATTATTTATATAGCTCTCTTTCCATTTATATTTTTTGTGTTCTTGCTTTTTTCTTGATTAGATTTGTTTATCAAATTTAAGCTGTATTTTTCTTATTTCATATGATTTCTAATGCATTAAATCACACAGGAAACCTCATGATTTCAAATTTTTTAAAAAAGTAATGGAAATGCTTTTGTATTAATTATATTGGTTACATACATTGTGAAACTGATCAAATTGCATACTTCAAATATGTGCATTTTATTGTATTTCTACTTTAATAGTTATGGGAAAAAAATTGAGACAGGCTCTCTCCAAGTTGCGCAGGCTGGCCTTGAGTTTGTGATTGTCCTGCCTTAGCTTCCCAAATTGGGATTATAGGCATGCACTGATGCACCCAGCTAATCAGTGACACATTCTTAAAGTAGACGCCACTGTGATGTCCCCCTGGAAACACCAAACGAAGCAGGGAAGCTTCAAGGTCATTTATCAAAATAATTAAATGAGCAACAGACAGCTTTCATTTTGAGTAGCATCCTAATTTTAGTGCAAAAGGGGGGTGTGACTGACATACTAAACATGGGACGGGCCCAAGGACACCACCTGTCCTTAACAGTGTCAACAGTTATCAAATTCAGAAGCACAGGACAGGGGCAAGGTTAAAAAAAAGAATCCCTACTCAGTATAAATTAGCTCGAGTTGAGAAATACGATTTGTCCAGGAGAAAACATGCCACTCAGTCCTTTGCCATCAAATGTTCATACCTAGCTCATATACAGCAGTACAACACTTAAAAGTACTTAGGGCTGTGCATAGTGGCACACACCTGTAATCCCAGCGTCTCAGGAGGCTGAGGTAGGAGGATCGCAAATTCAAAGCCAACCTCAGCAACATGAGGCCCTGAGCAACTTGGTGAGGCCCTGCCTCAAAATATAAATAAAATAGCAAGGTTTTCTTCTTTTATGGCTGAATAGTATTCCGTCATGTCCGTGGGCCACATTCTCCTTACCCATCTTCTCACTGCTGCACACTTAGATGGACCTGTAACGTGGCCATCCTGAAAGGTGCGGTGCACACAGAACGTGTGGCTCTTCAACAGACCGACTTCATGGCCTTTGGATGTAAGTGCAGCCGTGGGATTGCTGGATCATGCAGGGGTCCTGTTTTTAATATTCAAAGAATATCCATTATGTTCTCCATAATGTCTATATAATACTGGACATTTCACCAACAGTGTGTAAGGGTCCCCCTTCTCCACAGCACTAGTGACTGATTGATTCTTTGATAATAGCCATTCTAACGGTGTGAGGTGATATCGTGGTTTTGATTTGCATTTCATTTGAATGTTTTTTTTTTTCTTTTGGGAAATGTCTATTCAGGTCATTTGTACGTGTGAATGTGTGTGTGTGTGTGTGTGTGTGTGTGTGTGTGTGTTGCTGGGGATTGAATCCAGGGCCGCACACATGCTAGGCAAGCACACCACCACTGAGTTACTTAGCCAACTCTTTTGCATATTTTTTATTGGGTTATTTGTTTCCTTGCTATTTAGTTGTTTGAGTTCCTTATATATTTTGGAAATTAATATCAGATGTATAGTATAAAAATATCTCCTCCCATTCTGGAGGTTATCTGTTGCTTCTGTTGATTGTTTCCTTTGCTCTACAGAGCATTTTAGTTCGATGTTACCCCCTTTGCTTATTTTTCCTTTTGTTGACTTTTGGAGTCATGGCCCCCCAAAATCATTGCCCAAAACAGTGTGATGCAGCTTTTCCCCTATGTCTTCCTCTAATAGTTTCAAGTCATATTTTAAGTCTTTTTAAAAAAATCATTTTAAAGTACACAATTCAGTGACACTTAGTAC